TAAATAAAAACACAGTAAGAAAAGAAAGCTGGTGGATGTCGTTTATTTCTGTAACATAGACTTTTTTGACATATACAAACAAAATCAATTAGATAATTAGTCTACTCCATTTTTCACAGTACCCTTACAAGAAAACTTCATTATACGCGAATACGGTTGTCAGCTAAATAAAAAGGTTTTGACTAGCATGTCCGTATTTACTAAAAATAAAAAATTGAAATCGATACGCGTACTACAAACAACGCGGGTGATTGTAATAACCTTTATTTGTTTGTAGTCCTAAAAAATCTTATGAAAATCACAAAAAATTGTAATTTTTTCATGAAATATACAAATTTTCGAATAATCTTGATTTTCAATGCATTCAGCGTCGTTTGTAGGTGAGTGTAATAATCTTTATTCATTCTTAGTCCTAAAAAATCTTATGAAAATCACAAAAAATTGTAATTTTTTCATGAAATATACAAATTTTCGAATAATCTTGATTTTCAATGCATTTCGCGTCGTTTGTAGGTGATTGTAATAACTTTTATTCGTTTATAGTCCTAAAAAACTTCCAAAAAATCACAAAATGTTGTCAAATCTTGATTGTCAATGCATTCAGCATCGTACTTGGTCAAACATTGATACCCGAAACAATTATTTGAGGCAATACAAACACTTTTTGTCATGGCAGGTGACTAAAACCGGATACAGAACTTACAGCCCGTGATGATTGATGTTAATTCATAACATATTATTACCTATGTAATATTGCAGCCCATAGAAAGATGCGCACGTCTAGAAACAACAAAGACTATGATACTCCAAAGTTGCCTTTCACGACACCCAAGGGATGAACTGGTTTGATAGATAATGCGCGGCACGGAAACATATTAGCAAACTTTATTGTTACAGTTACTAATTATTAGAACAGGTACCTCAATAATTTAATAAAGCTTGTCTTTGTCATACATCTACATTAAGCGCACAACTTTGTTTACATTACGCAGTGTTGTTGGTACCAAACAAAGGATGTAAATCCTAAGTTCAGTTAACTACATCATAGAACCCGTTTAACTAGGTTTCTGTTATCTAAAAGGGTTTTGTTCATACCGTAAAAGTTATTGGTGATAACTTGTTTATTTAATTAAAAATATATTTACCTGTGATATGAACTGAAATACGTTTTCACTATTAATTACGAAGCCAAACGTTATATACAGGTTGTTAGTTGGAAGGGATAGGGTAGATGTTTTTGAACTAAATTTGGAATTAAAAAAAATATTACTTAGCTTTTGTATTTTCACTCCATTTTCCCCATAAGCCTTGTTTTTGACAAGTTGATAGACTTTTATCTTATATATAATGCACCGATGTAATAAGCGATTATTAGAGATGTTTTTAAAAGCATTTGTACTCCCCGATCATTATTAGTTTTTTTCAAACGATGCGATGCTAAGTTGACCTTTTGGGCTTAATTTTTTTATTTTCTTAACTTTGAGAGCCCATAACTTTTACTCATTATTTTGGATTAACAATGCCTTCTATAGATCAAGGAAACATCTGGCACCAAAATCAAATAAAAAGTTCAATCGAAAACATGTACCAAAAAAATTGTAGGGGTTAAGAACTAAAATTTCGGAAAATATTAGAAAATTACAAAAAAAAATATTTAAAAAAATGTGAACAATTAGGATATTCTACTTCAATTTGTATTTTACAAGTACTCGTAGGTCCACCTACACGCCCACCCGAGGTTTGTCTAACCCTCCACCAAACACCCTGTATATTTACTGCTGAATATAGCGTCCCCGTATATTGTGTCAAAGTCACAGTTGCCACGCTAGGCTCGTGGGTTGGAAACCGCAGTTTTTTTTTTATTATTTTAAGCTGTTATCAGGAAGACGTTGCTTTCTATTTCTTGCTTGATTTCCCTGTTTTTTGCCATTACACATTTTTCTTTTTAAACCTACTCAAACTACGCAATATTTTATCTCGCTTGCAAACTATTTAGCTTTTCTTATTAACATTTACCTTAAACATAAAATGTTTCCTGTTTAACTTTCCTAAGTTTGCTGTATTATCATTTACTGGTGAATGGTGAGAAGAAGCACACTAAACCTAAACGATAATTTTAGAGAGATCACGTCTAATGAAGTCAACACTCCGTCTCCCTCGTACCCTTCGGCAAATTGTACAAATGAACAAAGGGTACAATTTGCTATTTTACCTTGTGCATGTGGACTGTGAAAAAGCCTTTGATTCCACCGAAATTCAGATGGTGCTGCATACCCTTCAGCGGTGGCGAGTTGACTATCGGTCAGTGGCGAAGATTCTATACAAGCCCAAAAGCCCGGCTTGCCTCATTAAGATGAATCAATCAATTATATTAAGTAATAAAATAACTCGTAAACTGTTTCAAACTATTTCAAATTTCCCGCGCACTCTGTGCGACCTCGTAGCCTTACGAATACTGATGTCATCCATATACGGAGAGTTGAGTTGAGCGATTGGTTTTCTCCCTCGCACGCGTGGGCTTTTTACCGGGCTTTCGAGAAGGCGATCGCTCCCTTTCTAACCTGTGGCAAAATGTTCTATAATGAAATATAACTACGATTGTATAAATAGCAATTAGTATGTGGCTAAAAAGCCCGGCTTTTTAGTGACCATTAATTTTTTACTCAGAGCGGGACGCCTTTAAATTATTATAGTTCTAACAGTTTTGACTGCCTTCTTGGTCTAATGGCAGTAAACGCAATTGCAGATCATGTGGTCTCAAGTTCGAAACCCGAGTCGGGTCAAGAATCATTTATTGGGTTTTTCCGTCACAAAATTCTTAGTAGCAGTAGTATTACACTTATTGTATATTTTAGTATTATACTTACGCCATTATTAAAAATCAATCTGGAATCCTTTAGGGTAGAATGGGGTAATGCCGGTCACTTAAGGAAAAATTAACACAAAACGAATATAAATCAACATATCGTTATAGAACTAATTACAATCTCGTATATAATTATTCTACTATTAATGGCACTTTAATTCAGATCACTAGTAATCATAGTTTTGGTATAATAAACATTTAAAAAAAAACGTGTTTGACTGGTATTACACGCAATGAAAGGTAAAACCAGTCAGCTGTTGGTTAATACCAGTCAAGCTTAATGGGAGCATAAATCACATTTATAATATTTTGCAGAGTCACGTCCTGAACATTCCGAGTGGGCCCAACGTCCACACAATATACATCTGTACCACAACTCGTTGTCTCGTCCATAGACATCGCAGATAATACATCTGTTCCCGACATCTTCTAAATCCGTGTCATCGTCTTCACGTAAATCTGTCATCTCTATTTCAGAGTTTGAAGTACTGTCTTCGTTCATAGACTCATTCTGTAACACTTTCTTCTTCACTCCTTTCAATTCTATACCTTTCTTCAAATTCCTTTTCATTCTTGTTGGTTTTTTACGATTATTTTCTTTTTTGCTATCCAGATCTTCACTTATAGGATCAGTTTCATCTTCACTATAATCCATCTTGTTCACTTTTTTTTACCTTTGTAGTTTTCATTGTTCTCTCCTTTTTTATTGTAATATTTTTTTTTATTTCCACTGTTTTATTTTTCTTTTTTTTCAACTTTTATTTGAGCTTTTGCTAATTTTGCTAACTTCTTTTGCTCTTTCTCAAATAAAACTATTTTATTCGTAGTTCCCGTTATTACCGTAGCATGTTGTTTCCGCATCGCTTTTATATTTTTCTGTTCGGATTTTTTTGGCAAAGGAAGAAGATCCTTCACAGTAACTTTTTCAATATTTTCAATATGGGTTTTGACTGAAGATATTCCATTGACATTGGACTCGGTTTCATTTACAGATGGTGGTTTTACATTATGCAAATCAATATGAGAGATATCGTTAATTGTGGAGTCTAGGTTTTCGAAACCTAGGTCGAGCTGTGGAATGGCAGGCGAAAGTGTTGCGTTGCGTGATGCAACAGGAGGCATTTCAGGAGATAATATGGCATCGTGGTGATCATTTAAGTTGGGTTGAGAGATTTGTAAGGTTGCTTTTGAATCGTCAAGCAGAGATGGGGAATCTTGTATTCGATTATCATGATCGCACCTCTCTTCATCAAGAAGTTCGCTATTGTTCATTATATCAGCTGGTAGAAAATCTTTATCGGTAAATATATTTGGGTTGTAAGGATATACCCCTGAAGCAGTAAATCCTGCTTCGGCTTTCGGAATTGTTGCTACTCTTTGGAATGCTTTTCTGAAAAGCGAAGCTATGTCACCTTGTGTAATTTTTCGTCCCAAATTGCATTTCATAAATATGTTACATTCCTGCTTATATGCGGTTTTAAGGGGACCATAAATGGAAATATCCAATGGCTGTATTCGATGAGATCCATGTGGTGGCAAAGACAACAACATGGTTTTCTTTGCAAAAGTTATACGAATTCCAAGAAATGTGGCTAGAATGATTATCTAAGAGGAGCAAAACCGGATCACTTTCCGAAGGTTTTGCATATTTCGTAAAGTGCTTAAGCCATTCTACAAAGAGCTCTTCGTTTATCCACCCGTTTTTGGAACATCTATATACTGCTTCACGTGGTCCAATTTTTCCAATGCTTTCGAATGCCGTTGACGTGGATAAATAAACATTGGAGGAATGTATTGCCCTGTGGCACTCATAGCGCATACTGCCGTAACATTTTGGCCCCTTTCCCCACTGGTAATAGACCACTCGTTTTTGGCCTTTTTCGGCTACAACTTTGCCAGGATCCTGTACCGATGTTACGCCAGTTTCATCCACATTATATATGTTTCGAGGTGGAAACTTACATTTTTGCATCAAGTTTCCCAGCAAGTCAAAAAATCTTCTTCATGCGGTATAATAAGTTATTTCGTTTTAAAAACCCCTCAAGCCAATCTCTACCAGCTGATTCTGAAGTTTTGTTGAAGTTGTGCTTGATGTTATTTCTTTCTGCGTACTTAAAAGCCATCTTCCTTATTTCTATAGCAGTACACCCGTAAAATATATTAGCAAGCAGTCTAATTTGAGAAGCCATATTTTCTTCTTGTTCTTTTTCTTTTTCAGCCTCTCTTGTAGTGTAGAAAATGGAATGCCAGTACATCGGGCGGCTTCTCTTATTGGGTTTCCATCTTCAACTAGTTTAAAAGCAGCTTCCAATGATTTTTTGCTCCATTCCTTTATGCGCGCTTTTACATGTTTTGGCAGCATTTTGCAATTACCCTGAAACAATAAAATACTAAAAGTTTTAATGACACTGACTATTTAAATTGAAAACTTTACAAATAAATTGATGTGGGTGTGTGGGTAATGCCGGTCAGCCATGACCGGTATTACCCGATGATTGACATTTCTAAATATTTAAAATTTATTTAAAAATCTGCAGGCTAATCAACAAAGATTGATTTGACGATTGCGCACAAATAGTTAGGCAATAATTTTATTAACTTTACATTTGAAAACTATCGAGTAAAATTTACTTACTTCTTATTTTCGGACCGCAAAATTTTACAACAAAGTGGCGCGAAAACTTTCGACATGCCTTCTTCCCAAACGCATGCATGGAATTGAACGGGGTTCGGCGCTCCTGCGAGGAGAATAGTCACGCCACCCGCTTTGTATGTGTGCGTGCTTATAAACATCGTAACATAATTGGAAGTGTGCTGACCGGTATTACCATCTGACCGCCATTACCCGATTTTACCCTAATATAGTTTTATAAATAAAACACATAGTTGTTTGAGTCTTTTAATGATCAAAAGTGAATTCAAAACATCAAATAAATACTAATTGGAAATATCTTATGTTATTTGATAATTTATTGTAGATTAATTATAAATTGTCACTTCCTAACTTTAAATTCAAAAGTGTAGCTTTTCAGAATAATCACGTAACTAGACAAGCTATGCAAACCTGGTACGCGCGGTGTCATAATGATGGCACGGGTGACAGGGTTTGCGTGATTGTCACGCTTTTGTTTGTCAAAGCGGGACATTTTTACGTATTTTGGGGATAGCGCGACACAAACATTTAAATCGGGAACGTCCCGCCTAAAGTGGGACGTATGGTCGTTGGGACGTTAGGTATGAAGTTAGTCGAGAGACGAGGCGCGCGACCGACGCCGACGAGCCGACGATATGTTAGCAAGTTCGTGTCACATTTCAATGTTTAGTGTTTACATTGTGTCAAAAAGTACTTCTACTTTGTGCAATGTGTGTTGAGCTTGAGCGAATGTATTTCGAGTTTAAAATTTATGCTCTTTTTAAAGATTTTCAGTGAAAATGGGAGGATAAAAGTGTATAGCATTGTGATGAATATTAGTGAGTTGAAGTGCTAATCGGCGAGGAAAAGGATAAAAATTATGAATAAATTTCTTCATACTTTAAATATAGGCACAGGACTCTTTAGTATTAAAGTTTAATTAAGTTAGGCGTATTTAAAGGTTTAATAACTCAATATTTATATTACCATACGAATAAAAAATATCAATTTGAACACCAGCATAAAATATGAGACACCTAGGTTTAATTTTATAGGAAATAAGTGTTACAATCTTTTTTTAACGTGAAGCCCAAATTTTAATGAAATAAATCAAAAGAATACAGAAGAATGTATTGAGATTTTTAAAGAATTTTCCCTTTAGTTATTTCCAATATATAAAATTTTAATAGCGCCATCTACTTAATTCTATAGCTAAAGTCATTTTATCGAACGAAAATTGGTTGATTCTCACGATGGTACCTAAAGATTACGCTATCGGCTAATTTATATTGCCATAATATGAGTTTAAAAATATTATCGTTTTGTACGGTTTATTATGAATTGAAAATGAATAATTATATAATAAATAGTCATTATTTTATGGTAAAAAATTAGCAAAGCTTTATCTTCTCATTATAACTATCTAATTCCTGTCGTAATCTGTTCTTTTATGCATATAACTTAAACAAAATAATTTCGAGGTTTCACATCTGCCAGGCGTCCTTTTTTGACTTTGTACATAGTTTGTACTTTGTTCATGCTTTTCTTTTGTTTATGTATTGTATTGTTTGTAAATATCTCAAGCAAACCCAAACGGCTCTTTTCAAAACCACCGAAGGTGTGCAATTGCATATTATGTCATACAATCTATCTAGCGGTAGTATGCTTTCTGTGTGTAAACACGTCCTTGACAGCACTGAATATGAAACTAAAGAGTGGAGACAGCTCAAGATTGGTGTATTTTTATTAAACTGCTAAAAACAACAAAACCATATCTTGGGCTTGCCCTAGTTTGGAACCCTAGCTTCGCCACTGCCGTCGGTATATTAAGGATGAACATGGACAAAACAAAGATCATGTGTAAAATTCATGTCATTACTTGTGTAGGTGACACCAGTAATTGTTGGGAGTAATATGCTTGAAGTTTTTGACGAGTATGTTTACCAGGGCAAATAGTCTGATCAGGTAAATCCAACGTTTTTACGTGGTAGAGCCATGCTACAGTTATATTAGTAGTATAGATGTAGCCTCAGAATACAGAAAGAACCAGAAGCCGCGTTCAACTGTATTTACATGCCGCGCACTGTGTCCAAAAACAAAACGAACGTCCCGCGCCCGTCCCACTTCCCACCCGCGTAATATTGCTAGCTCAGAAAGTATTTATAATATTTACCACTTTTTGGGGTAAACGTTAGAGGTAAATTAATAATGATAAAATTATTATTATCCATTCCATATTGTATTAATATTATATACATAATAATCTCAAGAAATAAAAGTAACTACATTAAATAAAACAAGGTTTGAGAAAGGAACCAAAACATTTAATTTCCTTTTTGATGAGTAAGCTTTTTAAAATATTGTCGTCTAGAATTAGAACTAATCAGGAGAGATTTACATTTAGATAAATAATGAAATCTTATATCTAGATATTTTTCAATCACAGCCCTTATGAGATTGTTTCTGTGGCTTAGACCATTTATATGACTATCCTCAATCGGAAAAATGCTATTTTTTCCAATGAAGTCCTTGTAAATTGAAATGACGATAGCTAAACGTTGAAAGTTTGAACTTATTACGATATCTTCGTTTGAAATTCTCCGGACATGCGCTTCACAAATACAACATATGTCATAAATACTCTGGGAAGGGAAGCAAAGACCACCTCTATTTTTTAAACCGATCAGTTTGTGAAACCATTGGACATCAGATGCTAACATTGCTTCTATACAAAATTGACATTTTATGTGCTTTATTAGATAATGAGCTACACAACCCGATATATAACCTACGATATATTTTGACAAATCTTGTAGCTGAGGCAAATCAGAAGACAATAATTTTGCGATACTGCCCCCATTTTCTTCAATAGGTGATGTTGAATTTTGATTAAATAGCTGATCGTTATCTTCGTATCTTTGCGAGTGTGCTGAGAAGTTAATTGCTTTAGTAGACGATGAACAACTTAATATGCCTATGTTTTCAAGGGGTATACAATTGCCGCTATCGGAGGCTTTAAGTTCTAGATGACATAATATTTTTCGATAAATACCTTTAAATTGTTTTGCATTAGGGTTGTCATTGTGGCCCCCCGTGCATTCGTATCATTCCAAAGAGTAGTTCTAAATGGTCCTGGCTGCATTTATATGTTGGTATAAATACAAGCATATTGTTGGTCTCGACTAAACTCTCATATACTGATTGCAGACTCTCAATACATATTAGAATACCAAGAAAACCAGTTTTGCACGCACATTCTAACACCGGTTTATAACTTTTTATTATAACTTCCACGTGTCTTTCATCTTTCTTAATTTTTCTTTTAGTAGTATTTTTAATTTTTAACCCACGAATATACGTTTTCATTAAATCTAGAAAATTAAATATCATTTCTTTATTGCGCTTGTTCAATGGTTGCTTATAATCAAATTGTTTCATATTACGGGAGTTAAATATATCAAAGAGGTCATTCATGTTTTGTACAAACGTTTCAGTTGCTTTTGAATTTTTAAATGCAAACAATTTTGCATCCTCTCGACAAAATTTTAACGCTGTTGCGACACTTTTACTTAAAACTTGACTAGCAAGTTTAACTTTCATAATATTGTTACGGAACATAATATGCCTACGTGTAAGCTTATTTGCAATATGAAGTCCTTCATTTTCTTGGAGTTTGTTTAATTCACATAACAGATTCCAATTGATTTCTTCATCGTTTTTATCTTGGATATATTTTTTTAGATTCGAAGTGGTTTCTTATAAGTTTAAACATGTGAACGGGGTCTAAGAAAACAGCTATATTAGACTTGTCTACGGGGTGTTTAAAAGTGGTCCTCAATTCATTTTTAATGTCTATTTTACACCCTAGTAATTTCATTGCCGTTATGTTTGTTGCATGCCCATCAAACGTTAAAGATACTACTTTAACCCCAGCATCATGGCATTTGATGAGGCATAATTTAATTAAATTAACTTTTTGTTCTGCATTTAAACCATGCACCAAAAAATATCCCAGAGGCAATTTAAAATTGTCATTAATTCCATTTAATAATAGAACGTACGCCTCAGATGCTAAGGTTTTGCACTCTTCAGAATTAGCGGTCCCCATATCGACATATCCACAATTTTTTTCCCATCCCACAAACTTTGTTGTCTGATGGACATCTCATCAACAATTAGCGAACAGATAATGTTACGCATGGAAGAAGAAGCTTTCTCCTTTAAAGCTATAAACGATTCATCTGAGAATCCAGGCTCTCCGCTTACATTGGAGTACCATTTAGACAACGTTTTCGGGTGTGGAAGGCACGTGTCAAAAGTAGCCCTTACATACCTATAGGCAGTCGGTGAAAGAAAATTTAATGTCAGACAAAACTTTTTTATGGTGGCATTGTACTTTGGTTTCTTTTTTCTCAGGACGCATTTTTTATAAAGATTATTAAAAATATCAGCTGCTACAATATTTGACGAAAGTAGGTCATAAATATCATCGTTGACATAGCGATTATTTTTCAAATTCGTTAGGACACTTTTTAAAGATTCGTTCTTTTTTACAAGACGTTTATTTTTTTGTTGTAATGTTTTAATTCGCCGGACATGTGTCTTACAAATTAATTTTTTGCTGCGTAATTGGGATCTTAGTTTCGCTTTTTTCGGCGTATCAAATATATAGTCTAAATCAGAAATATTCACATCACCAATCTCTGAGTTTGATTGAACAGGCGAAGCCTGAAATCAAAAATCTTAGTTTATTATTCATATCATGTAATATTAGAAGGTCCAGCAATAAAGAAGGACAAAGAACGCATTCACTCGGAAATATTAATAAATGTAAATAAATCGGTAATGGTGTTATACTAAAACTAACTCCATCCAAAGCTTGTAAAAAAATAGGTAATGATAATATACGTACATTTTTAGATGTTTCAATGCATAACTCTGACGCTGTTGTTGCCATGGCCAAATGCTGAAATATTATATTATTATTATTTCATTTTAAATTACTCATAATATTGTACGAGTTTTCCGCCCGTGGCTGCCAAGTGAGATAAAATATAATTAATGTAAATATAATGAAACTATAATTATCTACCTTATTTGGAAAAGCTCCCTTCCTAAGCCTTCTGAAACCTCGCTTTGTTTCATAAAAATATTTGTCATCAAAATGCATTGAGCAAACTACGCTTCGCTTTGACGGTT